CATTATTGTGTCATCAAACCCTCTGATTGGTTGAGATTGTGAGAAACTGCAGTGAGACCCAGACCCACACATTCATATGGAGATGTGGGACTATAAATGGCAGACAGAGACCTCTACAGCACAGAGATCCACACATGGCGCCTACAATCACTGCAGCAATGACCAACTCTCAGGAGCCTTACACTCTGACCCACAAGGTAAATTCAAGATTCAACAAGATTTAAATATTGTCCTTCAATCGTTGTCTTTGTTCATGTCAACACTAAACTCCAGAATAAGATTATTAATGACTTTCTTTTCTTTCTGCAGCTCAGAAAGCCTCTGGTGGAGAAGTTACGCAGAGAGCGAATCAACAGCAGCATTGAGCAGATCAAGTCTCTCCTGGGTCCAGAGTTCCTCAAACAGCAGCCAGACTCCAAGCTGGAGAAAGCAGACATCCTGGAGATGACAGTTTGTGTCCTGAGACGACTGCAGCAGCAGAATGAAAAGCAGAGAAGACTGCTGAACCACGTCAACAAGATGCAGTGTTCCTCTGATAAGAACCTGAGAGGCTGACTTCTCTCTGCTGAGCTCCACAGTCCAGACCAGCATCACCAAAGAGAAGAGTCCAGTCAACAGCGCCCCCTGGAGGCCGTGGTAGAGCCCTACTGACTGGAGTTACTACCTGACAAACTGAGATAACCATATTGGTCAAAGATTACTGGAAGTGAATTATTCTGAATTCTGAAATACTAAGAACTTGTTCTTCTGTTTGTACAGAAGGTTGTTTTTTTTTTTTTGCAAGATGACATTTCCTGATGAGATGACAGCAACTATATATTTCAATTTAAGAAAGAGAACATCTTCTCGTGCATGTTGCATGAACCAAATCTGATTGCACATGCAATTATAATACACTGTACTTTATGTGTTGGCAGATTACAGCTCTATTGTTACATTTGTAAACCTCAAATTATTATTGATCATTTTGATCAGAAACTTTAACAGTTCTTTTTATAATGTAATAAGAGACTTTATGTTTTTGAAGCGACAATGATTGTAATTTGTTTCGTCACAATTTTTCCTGTGTTACTTTTATTCATTTAATGCACGCCATGTGTTGAATATCAAGTCAAGTTGATATTGTGTTATTTCCTGATTAATATTGATTATTTTTATCTGAAAACTAAACTCTCCTTTTCATGGAAATTATTACATAATGGACTTTGACTCACTTCATGTGATTATTGAATAATGATCTGTTTTAAGATCAATATGTTTATCCTTTTAATTAAAAAGGTTTTATTTATGTAACAGTTTTACAAAGACAATGTAATTCTTACATGTTAAGAATCAATGGAAAGTATTGCTTTTCAAGCACATTGTTACTTGTAAGGTCAGTTTTTACTACATTTTCTTTTGGTAACCAACCTTGGATAACTGGTCCCTCAAATGTAAATTGTTTGTCTTTTGTAAAGACGGTTGTTCCTCTACTCTCAGTGAGTACAGCGTCTTGTAGAAATCTACAAGTTGTTGTTGTTGTGATGTATCATCACCTCTAGATAAAGCTTTCAAGCTTCATGTTGTTCATTGTGCATTGTTAAATAAACAAACTGACAGCTGAAAATGTTGTGTACTCTTCTTAATTTTCATTTTACTTTAATTGTTAGAGGTATAACCCCAACGTTCCTTGAATTGAAAAATCCTGATACAATTCAGAATGGCTTATCAATAACATACCTGGTCAGTGTGAAACTAATATGGTTCAATTGAGAAATTAATGAATTAATTAAGAGGAAGTGCGTTCAATGACACCTTTGCCAACGTTCTTTTTGAAACATATTCAGTTTCAGGTGTTTTAATATAAAAAACACTAAAGTTAAACATGTCCCTCTATAAAGAGGTCAGACATTGTATCTGAAGTGATGCATAATGAGACACACTTCTATTGTTCCTCCAGTGAAAGGACAGAGTGTGGGAAACCAGAGGAACCTCACTCACAGAGCCCTGTGGGACAATAGATATTTGCCCTGAAGGGACAGAGACTAAGATTTAAAAATAATTCTGTCAATGACACAATTAAAAAGGTAATCAAATCAAGATAAAATATTTCGGAAACATGGCGCTTTTTAAAAACTTGACTTCGATTTTAAACTGAGGTTGCTTACTAGCTATGTCAATATAAGATGAAGGGGGAAAAAAAGATTACCTTTCAGCAAATTCAGATTCCCTAACTGAATTAGGTTGTTTCTCAGATGCAAAGCTGAAACAGAGTACAACAACACAAGTTACTTTATCCAGCCAACTTTTACAAAAAGAGAAAATATCTAATGTTAAAAATGTATTTGCTGCAGCAAAATACATACGGATAGTATTTGCCTTACTTTAATGAATCTACTCAAGGGAAAGCTGTTTTTTTAAATTGTTGAAAACTAATCAAACATCTCAAACTGATGAACACTCACTTTTCTGAAACTACTTTTGTTTGCTTCCCAGATGCCTGCTAAAAATGTAATCATTCAAGGGAAGCTAGAACGCAATCTTATTTATGATATAGGTAACCAGATGAACAAATACAGTATCATTTGATCTTCCCAACATGATAATACTTACCTTCTCGTTTGATTCCAGTAAAAGAGGATGAACAATAATTAGGCAGATGGTTGCACGTGGTTCCGTCCCGTAAAAAATAGGGATGCATCGATTGCAAAATTGTCAGCAGACACCGATCTCGATTTTTAGAATAATGGTTTGGCTGATACAGAGAAAGCTGTTTTTATTTTTTGGTTGTTATTTATTTGCCTTTTGTGAAAGCGAAACAAATCTTATTGCAAAGAAATAGGAACTTTGTTCCAGCCATTTGTTCAATACACTTTGAATGGGCATGAAATCAATGAAAAGTATTTTTGAAACCTACTTTTGATTTTGGCTCCAAAAATAATCAACATTTCTAATATTTTACTGTATTTTGCAAGAAAAAGGTCAAGTTCTCAAAGGATTTGGCTGTTTTTTTAATTCAATTGTTTACAGTTCAACATGTTCTCAAGGAAGGAACTTCATGTGTTCTACTAATTATGTTTCTATACTTAATATTATACATTTGACTTTTCAAACCCTACAACTGTGATGACACTGAAAATGTAACTTTCTCAAATCTTTAATAAGATTTAGGCAGATATTGTTTTTCAACATGAAGCATTATACAATATTTGTCAGAAATAGCTTTCTCTTAATTAAATGTTAAACTACTTATGTTGATGGATATTTCCATAGATGTCTTTGTATACCGGAACACGCCTGTTTTCTGCTAATGGTAAGTGTGGGAAAACACCTCCCACTCCACCAGCAGCCAAGTCATTCTCCAAAGGGATTTGGCACACTTCAGGAAACAGCTGCCCTCCAGGAAACCTCCCATCCTCATGGGTAGAGCGAAGGCTTAATCAAATTGATTTTCATAAATGAAAAAAAAAATTCGATATTCAAAATGAACGAAAATGATTCCAATTGAAAATATAACAAGATCAATTATTTTTTGCTCAATTTATGATAGATTGTTTTTTTTAAACCTTCACATTGGGCAAAGGCATCTTTTCCCTCCAGGTGGCTGGTGATGTCAGAATCAGTTTCTGTAACAACCCACAGCCAGCATCTGTCAGAGGAGCCCCTTTGTGGATCATTGACCACACCATACAGGGAGTCAGTGTGGGAAACTGAGCTCAACGTGCTACTCAGGCTGACTACAAGGCACGTGTCAAAAGACCACATCTGGACAGCTAAATGATAATCGGGGTGGTTTTCTAGAAGTTATCATTAATGTTCATCACATTACTTTCAAAAATGTTGTAATTCTATTTCACATAGAGCTGGATGTTTGATGAAGAAATACTAAACACATACAAAAATAAGTAAAATTGGAATACATTTACAATTAAAAACAATGATTTTATCTAGTATATTGTAGGTTGTGGCTCAATAAAAATCTACGAGAATAAAACCGTATATCAACTTGTTTTTTTGTAATAAGTTTAATGTGTACTTTTATATATAATAAAAAAAATTCCCTCACGTTTGTGATGGGATTATTAGCGTGTGTTCAGTCAAAGTCATTGATCCCAGCATCAGGCAGCAGATCTGCTCTCTACAGGGTCACCACTTTCCCAGATTCACATAGAGCTCTGTGAGTCTCTCTCCATCACCCCCCCCCCACAGTCCCCCACCTGTTCCCCTGAGATCTAACCATTGCCCTAATTTCAATAAAACCATCAGGCGTGTGGCATCATTTATTGTGTCACCAAGCTTTGTGACTGGCTGAGACTGTGAGAAAGTGCAGTCAGACCCAGACCCACACATTCATATGGAGATGTGGGACTATAAGTAGGAGGGATGAAGCCAGCAGAGATCAGATTCTCTCGACAGAGACCTCTACAAAACAGAGATCCAGACATGGTGCCTACAATCACTGCAGCAATGACCAACTCTCAGGAGCCTCACACTCTGACCCACAAGGTAAATTCAAGATTCAACAAGATTTCAATATTGTCCTTCAATCGTTGTCTTTGTTCATGTCAACCACTAAGCTCCAGAATAAGATTATTAACGACTTCCTTTTTCTTTCTGCAGCTCAGAAAGCCTCTGGTGGAGAAGTTAAGCAGAGAGCGAATCAACAGCAGCATTGAGCAGATCAAGTCTCTCCTGGGTCCAGAGTTCCTCAAACAGCAGCCAGACTCCAAGCTGGAGAAAGCAGACATCCTGGAGATGACAGTTTGTGTCCTGAGACGACTGCAGCAGCAGAATGAAAAGCAGAGAAAACTGCTGAACCACGTCAACAAGATGCAGTGTTCCTCTGATAAGAACCTGAGAGAGGCTGACTTCTCTCTGCTGAGCTCCACAGTCCAGACCAGCATCACCAAAGAGAAGAGTCCAGTCAACAGCGCCCCCTGGAGGCCGTGGTAGACCCCTACTGACAGGAGTTACGACAAGACAAACTGAGATGACCATATTGGTCAAAGGTTACTGGAAGTGAATTCTTCTGAATTACTAAGAACTTTTTCTTCTGTTTGTACAGAAGGTTGGTTTTGTTTGTTTTCTTTATGCAAGATGACATGTCCTGAGGAAATGACAACAACTATATCTTTCAATTTAAGAAAGAGAACATCTTGTCATGCATGTTGCATGAACCAAATCTGGTTGAATTTGCAATTATAATTATAATACTCTGTACTTCATGTATTGGCAGATTACAGCGCTATGGTTACATTTGTAATCCTCAAATTGTTGTTGATCATTTTGATCAGAAACTTTAACTGTTCTTTTTTAAACATATGTCAAGTTTAGAAACAGAACATCTTGTCATGCATGTTGCATGAACAAAACTGAATGCAACAGACATTGATATACCTCAC